CGAAAACGTGACAGGTGAGACCCTTAGGGGAATGGACAAGAATTTAGAAATCAAGAGTGACAGAGCACGCTACCTCATGAACCGAATATGGACACCCAAGTTTGGTGGATTTAGGGAGGTAGTTATGAGCGAGGCACACAAGACTCCATACTCCGTACACCCCGGGTCAGACAAGATGTATCAAGATCTCAAGCAACTTTACTGGTGGCCAAACATGAAAGCGGAGATCACTACATATGTGAGCAAGTGTTTGACTTGCGCCAAGATAAAAATAGAACACCAGAAACCCGCAGGGCTACTCCAACAACCTGAAATTCCTGAGTGGAAATGGGAGCAGATTTCCATGGACTTCATAACGAAACTGCCCAAAACTCAGGGTGGCCAAGATACTATTTGGGTAGTCGTCGATAGATTAACCAAGTCTGCTCATTTCTTACCGATCAAGGAAACTGATAAAATGGAAAAGCTAGCGAGAATCTACATCCGAGAGATCGTACGACTCCATGGAGTGCCAATGTCTATCATCTCAGACAGAGACAACAGATTCACTTCCAGATTCTGGCAATCATCGCAAAAATCCATGGGAACAAGGTTGGACATGAGTACAACCTATCACCCCCAAGCTCACGGACATAGTGAGAGGACGATCCAAACCTTGGAAGACATGTTGCGAGCATGTGTAATCGACTTTGGTAAAGCATGGGATGTTCACTTACCTTTGGTCGAGTTCTCTTATAACAATAGTTATCATACTAGTATCAAGACTGCTCCATTTGAAGCTCTTTATGGCCGTAAGTGCAGATCACCTCTGTGCTGGACGGAAGTAGGCGACACCCAACTAGCAAAAGGTCTAGTCCCTGATAGCACCCTTACTGGTCCAGAGATCATCAGAGAAACTACTGAAAAGATCGTGCAAATACGAGAGCGACTGAGATCCTCGAGGGATAGACAAAAGAGCTACGCCGACAAAAGACGTAAACCATTGGAATTCCAGACTGGCGATCGAGTACTACTGAAAGTCTCACCCTGGAAGGGAATGATACGCTTTGGAAAGCGTGGGAAGCTGAATCCTAGGTACATTGGACCCTTCGAAATCATTTCAAGGGTTGGTCCAGTAGCCTACAAACTCCAACTTCCAATAGAGCTTAACAAAGTACATCCAGTATTCCACGTATCAAACCTGAAGAAGTGTCTGTCCGACGAAACACTTGTAATTCCACTCGATGAGATCGAACTAAATGAAAATCTTAACTTTGTGGAAGAAACCGTCGCGATCATGGATAGGGAAATTAAATGAACTAAACAGAGTCGCATTCCAATAGTAAAGGTCCGATGGAATGCTAAGAGGGGACCCGAGTTCACGTGGGAACGAGAGGACCAAATGCAACAGAAGTATCCACATCTCTTCCCCAGCCCCTAAGACTCTTCTTTTGTATTAAAAATTTCGGGACGAAATTCCCTCTAACGGGGGGATGATGTAACAACCCGTTATTTCATGTCAGTAAAGGTCGAGTCATGTAACCTCCTTGAGAAAGGAAATAGAATATGAAGTATTCAAAAACTCTATTTGGAGTACACTATGTGGTAGTTATCATCTTAAGGTTTCCAAACATATAAATAACACAAAAATCCGAATTATAACGAAGAAGTTATGTTTATTATAAGTTTTTCCGACAAAAACCAGCAATACAAAGTTACGTAAAAACGCAAAGTTTCAATAAAACATTTTCTGACCTTAGGTGTCTAAATGAAAGTGATAGATATCGTTAAACTACAAACATGCATAAAAAGAACGCTCAAATCGGACATCATATGAATAAGTTATGAATTTTTAAAGAAATTCCTTAAACACGTCACTTTAATAAATAAATAATAAAAATAATTTCGGAATTTGCCAACGGAATCTAAATGAAAGTTGTAGATCGTAGTCTCACCTTCGCGGGGATATAAAGAACGCCAAAAACGGAGTTCGTATGAGGGAGATATGAAATTTTGAAGTTTGATAATTAATTTATATATAATTTTTATTCAAAATTCGGTATTATCCGAAGAGGAGTCAGCCTAAGGCTATAGTACGCGCCGCGTACCCTAGTACGCCCCGCGTACTGAGAGGCCACGACCTCGGATCGTCCACGTCGCACGATCCGGAGAACCCGACCCGCTGTCCCATCCGACCCGCGTGCCAGCGACCCGTCCCATCCGACCCGCAAACCCAGGGATCCGTCCCATCCGAAGCCGAGGCAGTCGAGGCCTCGGTCATGCGTGACGTACGCGTACGCGCTGCGTACTAGCGTACGCCCCGCATACTGAGGCAGACTAGCCTCTCTATAAATAGCATACGAAGGTTTCCAAACAAAGTACATCCTGTATTCCACGTATCAAACCTGAAGAAGTGTTTGTTCGATGAAACACTTGTAATTCCACTCGATGAGATCGAACTAAATGATAATCTTAACTTTGTGGAAGAACCCGTCGAGATCATGGATAGGGAAGTTAAACGAACTAAACAGAGCCGCATTCCAATAGTAAAGGTCTGATGGAATGCTAAGAGGGGACTTGAGTTCACGTGGGAATGAGAAGATCAAATGCAATAGAAGTATCCACACCTCTTCCTCAGCCCCTAAGACTTTTCTTTTGTATTAAAATTTCAGGATGAAATTCCCTCTAACGGGGGGATGATGTAACAACCCGTTATTTCAAGTCATCAAAGACCGAGTCTTGTAACCTCCTTGAAAAAGGGATTAGAATATCATCGAAAAATGAAGTATTCAAAAGCTCTGTTTGGAGTACGTTATGTGGTAAGTATCGTCTTAAGGGTTCCAAACATATAAATAACGCAAAAATCCGAGTTATAACGAAGAAGTTATGACCATTCTAAGTTTTCCGACAAAAACCGGCAATACGAAGTTACGTAAAAACATAAAGTTTCAATAAAACACTTTCTGACCTTAGGTGTCTAAATGAAAGTCATAGATATCGTTAAACTACAAACGTGCATAAAAAGAACGCTCAAATCGGACATCGTATGAAAAAGTTATGAATTTTTAATGAAATTCCTTAATCACGTCATTTTAATAAATAAATAATATAAATAATTTCGGAATTTACTGACGGAATCTAAACGAAAGTTGTAGATCTTAGTCTCACCTACGCGTGGATATAAAGAACGTCGAAAACGGAGTTCGTATGAAGGAGATATGAATTTTTGAAGTTTGATAAATAATTAATATATATTTTTATTCAAAATTTCGGTATTATCCGAAGTCTGAGTCACGCAAGTACGCCCCGCGTACACGAGTACGCCCAACGTACTCGAGGCCACGGCCTCAGATTGTCCACGTCGCCCCAATGCGAGCCTACCCCCCCGTCCCGTCCGAAGTGCGAGGCAGTCGAGGACTCGGTCATGCGTGACGTACGCGTACGCCCCGCGTACCGAGGTGGTTCCAGCCCCCTATAAAACAGATGTGAGGGTTCCCGGAAAAATGGCTCATTCTCTCTCACTTTTCTTGCGTTTTTTCCTCGATTTTTGTGCTCGCACTACCCCAAAGCCCTGGTCATTTTGTGCAAATCCCGAAGGTCAATTTTATTCAAGAGATTCCCGAGAATCCCGAGGAAAATCCGTTTCCCAAGACGAAACTCTGCCCGGTTTTCCATTTGCTGTCTCCAAACTTTCAAGTGAGTTCATACCCATTTCAAACACACTTTAAATACATTTTAAATGCTTTTATACTCTTTTAGGGGGGGAATACAAGTAAACATACGGTTATTATCGTGTATTTTATAAAGTTTCACTTCACTTGTTTTATCGAATAAATCACTTGGAACTCATTACTACTATGGAAAACTCTTGTCATACTTTGCGTGCATTAGACTTATACAAAGTATATAATGATTTCAAAGTACCTTTCATTGCTAATTCGTTTTATACATTCTAAAAACTTATGATTTATGCTTTGTCAAACATTGTGAAAAAGGATAAACTTTGCATACAAAACTATCACTTTAATGCGGACTTGGATGAGAATCCATGAGACGTGTATATATTCAAACGTTACTTTTCTTTATTAGAAAGTAATGCTGCAAGTCCTGTCTATAACCAGAGTCTCCCGTTCGGAGAACGTGTCAAATGTGTATAGATCTATACGGGAAGTCATCATCCCGCGCCCTGACTGTTAGCTACAGTCCGTCCTTTGGGGTGACAGTTGTCATAACGCTGCGATGCCTGAAGAACGTCGTTACAAGCATATTATGTTTAGTATGGTTATAAAACTCATCGGATATACAATTATTATGGTATTATGCTTTTATGAACGAGTAGCTATTAAAACTATTCTTCATCTAACAAATGCGATCTTCGTATAGCTTTATTATATAAAACTATGACACAACTTTTAAGAACATCAGTTTCTTGCAACTTTCGGTCTTAGAGACTGCCAGTCATGTTAGGAAAATAAGGGTTTCTCCTGTATACAAACCAAACAACTAATAGGAAAACAAGGGATTTTCCTGGTGCAATTATTTACAACTTATAACACAAACATTCATATGCATTTCATACTTTTATAAGAAAATAAGGGTTTTTCTTGGAGAACACAACAATTCATATCTCAACCGTTAGGGAAAATATGGGATTTTCTGGATCTAATACATTCATTTTCAACACAACAAGTCATAACTCTTTACATATGAAATACTGAGTTTTCTGGAAAACATACACCCATTTTGGAATGGTATTCAATTTTTCTAAACCACTTACGAACTCACCAACTTAATTGTTGACACTTTCTCTTTGAAATAACTTATATTCTCAGGGAACCGCTAAGCAGGTTTGGAAATCAACTTTTGGGGATTAATGCGCTGGCGTTAATTACTTCTTTTGAAAGATGTTTATGTATTTATCTTTTGAACATGTAATGAATACAATTATGTAAACATCTTGGAAACTTTAATATATATGGTGGTGTGTACTTTCCTTTCTATGAACTGTTATGATACTGAATATGATGTCCTCCGCCCCCGAACGTTTCCGCCATTCTGGTTTGGGGGTGTGACAGTTTGTGTTTAGAAACTTGATCAAACAATGAAGTTTGTCAAACATGATTAAATTATAAGCACTATTTTTAGGGTTAAAGTCATTTTTTGAACATTTATCACAAAGAGAATCCAAAATAGGATCGATATGCTTTATTTGTACCAACCTCAAATTGTGTTGATGAGTTTTTTATTTTAATATTTATCTTAGTTAAAAAGATATTTTAGAATTGTTAAAAGTTCACACTCTTGGTCACTACAAGATTAGGCATATATATACACTAAGTCTTTAGTGACAGACATGGATTTGTTGTGTTGTCATTTTTCAATTAATTAATGTTAAGTTTCAGAATATGGTTGTGAAACACGTAAGAAAACTGAAATTGCAAGGCAAGAGAACCATGGGTTTGCTGATTTGGGTTTATCCCTTGTTGGTGAAGCTTTGATTCAACCTTTACAAGGTAGATCAGAAAAAATTAGGTAGCAACAACTCTTTTAAAAGTCAAATTCTTGACTATTATAGTCTTCAAGTGTTTCTTGTAATATGAAATGCCTTTTTTTTTTTACTTTTACTTGACTATTCATTTCAAATTATTGTTTTATTATCTATTTGTTTTAGCTCAAAGATCTAATTGTCCAATTACTTGGAAAACAAAGGTTGACTCATTGTGAAATTTCTGTATTTGGCACCCCCAGGAGACTTGTGGTATGGTTTCCTTTTATTATTTTGTTTGTTTTCCATTTATAAAAAGATTTAAGTTTTAGAATCACTTTTTTTTTAATTTTTTAATACAATAATTTAACTTGCAAATTATTGTTGACAATCTATGCTCTAAGCAAGTGGCAAATGAAGTTGAGGTTCGAGGACCTCCAGTTTCAAAAGCTTTTGATAATCAAGGAAATCCGACTAAGGTATTATTATTCCTGTTTATTTTTAACTTGCAAAAGGTTAGTTTTGTCTTTTCACTTTTGTAGTTAACTTATACCGACTAATGGTTTAACTTTTGATACTGGAGGTCCTCAAATCATATGAGGATTGATGTTGTGATGCAGTCACCACAAGACTTGGAAAAGTTATATTCAGAAGTTCATCTTCTTAGATCATTAAAACACAATAACATCATCAAGTTCTTTGATTCGTGGGTTAATCATAAGAAGAAAAATGTAAATACGATAACTGAGCTCTTCACATCCGGAAGCCTTAGATAGTAAGAAATAATAGATTTGATATCATATATATATATATATATATATATATATATATATATATATAATTAATGTAATAAATGATATATTTTACTCGACTCTTAATTTGCATTTATTAGATATCGGAAGAAACATAAAACGGTTGATTTGAAAGCGATCAAGAAGTGGGCAAGACAAATTCTAAATGGTTTTCACTACCTTCACAATCAAAATCCACCTATGATTAACATGGATTTGAAATGTGACAACATATTTGTGAATGGGAACAATGGAGAAATCAAGATTGGTGATCTTGGATTGGCAACTATCATGCAACAACCAACTGCCAAGAGTGTTATTGGTAAGACTAACTAAAAACAAAACATGTTCTTCAAGTGTAGTATGAATTTAATGTTGTTGTTGTTTTTTTCACTAGGAACACCTGAATTCATGGCACCGGAGCTTTATGAAGAGGAATACAATGAAGTTGTTGACATATATTCTTTTGGGACGTATTTGTTGGAAATGGTGACATTTGTGTATCCTTATAGTGAATGCAAAAATCCAACTCAAATCTATAAGAAAGTAAACTCAGTAAGTTGAAAGACCCTGAATAATGGTTTGGTCTAGGCATAGTAGTTAGTGGTAGTGGGTGTGTAGGATAATTGCATTTGTCTAGAGTTTACGGTCAATATGTGTTTACGGCCGTAAACTCCTAACGGCCGTAAACACCTTGCGGTTGTAAGTTGAAGTCTACAAATAGGGGTTTGTGTCAGACTTTAAAGGTTGTTGATGCCTTCGTATTTTCCCAAGTTGTATCTGATGTTTTATTGCTTTAAAGCGTAGGCAAGCTTCGTTTCATTCGATTTTGCTTATTGATTTTTGTTTATTGATTCGTATTGTGCATCTATTATTCGTATTGAGCATTGGTAGATCCGTTTTCGGACTTTACAATTGGTATCAGAGCTTAACCAGTGTCAAAGACGTCCTACAGTTGCGTTTTTAGCCAAATCGACATTCACAGTGATAAAGAAGGTTTCATTCCAGTCAAAATTGAAGTTTCTCGAAGCCGACGGCCATAGCTTACGGCCGTAAACTCGTATTTAGGGCCTAAAGTTCTTTACGCTTCATTCCTGCAAACAATTCTCTCACACAGCAATCGAGCCTTTGATATCAAGTTTTAATTATCGCATTTAATTGAGTTTATTTTCAAATAAAAAAAATCCGATACCTGAGTTTAATTTCATTGACCATAAACTCGTGAAATTGATTTTTTTTGTTAACCGATAATTGCACCGTCGTTTTTCTGAGTAAATTTTTGAAATTATCTTTGGACCGTAAACTAGAGTTTACGACCGTAAGGAGTTTACGGCCTAAAGATTTTTGATAATTTGATTAATTAATAATCAATAAATTTTATTACAAATCGGAATTCAAATTTTTCCTTGACCGTAAACACCAGCTTACGACCTTTAAAAAAAAAAAATAAATAAAAATAAAAAAAATATATATCTCATCAGTTTACGGAAAATTAAATTTTATTTCAATTAAATTTTATCTTAATAAAAAAATGGAAACACAAAATTCAAATCAATACCAAGAACTTGACGCTGTGATGGGAACAACTACGCGCATTCCTCGACTTATGTCTGCTGATGGCTTCCCCGAGTGGAAGTACATAATCGAAAAATATATAAAAATGAAGGATTTTAAAGTCTGGAAGTGCATGATCAAAGATCCGATCAGAATCACCAATACAGTCGCAGGACAAGTGGTGGATAAGAAGATTGAAAATTATACCGATGAGGATTTCGAGACCATTGAGGACCAAGAGAAGGCATTGGTCATCTTGACTATGGCACTCTCACCAGACATTGCACAAGGTTTCAGAGAATACACTTCTTCCAAAGCATAATGGGAGGCACTGATTGAAGTATATGAAGGAAACGAGGATATGCAAGAAAGTCGCCAAGACATGTTAAGGCAACGATTTAACATGTTCAATTATGTGCCCGACGAGACTCTTAAAGCCAAGTTGCAGCGGTTTACAACTCTTAATACCAAAATGACTGTAGCGGGGATCTTCTATACAAAGTCTGAGGTCAACAAGAAGCTACTAAATGCTCTCCCAAAATCTTGGGACATGAATGTGGTTGTGATTAAGAAGACCAAAGATCTCAATCGCCTAACCCTAGCTGAAGTGATGGCTGTCATCAAAGCATGTGACATTGATTACAAGCAAAGAGAGATAAACCATGTTAACTCATACTCGACTGCAAACCTTGGCATTTCAACTAACAATGCTCTGTCTTCGTTTTGTTATTCATCTGCAGGCTTACCCTTCAATGCACCTCCTCAGACTCAGATACTCTCTCATCCATCGGCTCCTACTGTCTCAGCCATGCCCCAGCCACAGAACCAATCATTCTTGACAGCACCTTCAAATGTGGCTTCTTCTTCTTCTTCAAAGGGAAAGGAGCTTGATGAGAACATTGTCTTTGCTGCAAGGCTAATCAATTGCTATAATGCTCTTGTAGCTGGGGAGCTTCCTTCTGAACTGTCGTTTGCAGATCTTGATCAAATTCATCCGGAGGATGTTGAGGAGATGGATATCACATGGCAAATTGCCATAGCTGTCTTTAGGGCAAAGCAATTGCCAAGAAGACGGGAAAGAATAATTGGGGAATGAGCGCTGACAGGAAGTTTGGGTTCAATAAAGGAAATCTTAGGTGCTTTAACTATCACGAGCTAGGGCATTTTGCTCGTGATTGTCCTCACCCCTACAGAAGACCCAATAATGACAGATCGATTGTTGCAGTAGGAAACAGCAGAAGCAGTGGGCAACCGAACAATGAGAAGGCTATGGTTGCGCAATCATTTGACTGGAAAGATCAGATACAAGCTCTCAACATCTCTGGTCCAGAAAATGCTCATCTGGCACAAGTAAAGGATGATACACCAGCAGGGATCGTTGCAGTGGAGGACAGCATGATGAAGCTTCAGTTTGCCTTGATGGTATCTTCTTCCAATGAACCTAATTCATCCAAGGTAAGTCTTCCATCATGTTCACAAGCTTGTATTGATTATGTGAAAACCCTACATGATAAATTGAAAATTTAGAAAGCGAACTAGATAGCCTTAAAATCCTTCGTGAGTTAAATGATAAATTAAAAAGGGACGTAGAAGACCTTAGATATGAAGGATATCAACTTAGGAAAGGTCAGAAACCTCTTAAGGCTCAACTAGAATAAAAATAAAGGACTTTAGAAAACTACAGGAGGACTACAGTAATAAATGTGAAAACTATGATTATGTAGTCAAACAAAACACAGAACTGGTGGCTGAAATTGAGTCCTTGAGTGGCAAATTTGAAACTGCCAAACTTGATGTTCGAAAATATGATCATTCAAGTGAAGTGGTTGCAAACATGATAGACCACACCATGAAATTTAAAAGAAATCAATCGAAAGGTCTAGGATACAATAATGTGCAATCTCCCTTTAATCATTCATATCTACATAAGCCACTCTCCAAGGAAGAATTTGCCAATGAACCTTCTATGGTTTATGGAAAATCTTATGGTTTTGTTTCAGGAGGGTTTATTAATGTTGAAAGTACTAACATTTCTACTTCTCCTACAGATCAATCCTTGAATCAGTCACAGCACAAAGTTAAAGGATCTATGTCTGAAATTAAGCCTGAGTCCGAACCTGAAGTTTTAGCTTTAAACAGAGACAATTATTTTTCAAATGTTTTGATTGAAAATAGTTTTTTTGGTGTTTTTGATTCTGATGATACTGGTTTTTATTTCTCCTAATACTAATACTGTTTTGAATGTTTTTAATATGTCTGATAAATCTTTGAACAATTTGGTTGACAATTTGTGTGTTTGTGATAAAAATGTTGAAATACCACTGGTTTCACAACCTTCTACCAGTAAAGCACCCTCACTTCCCTCACAACCTAATACTGTTGCTAGACCTTGTGAGAGAAGAAAGGGTGGTGGTAGGGAAAACAAATCTGAACAATGCAGTACTAGTTCCAACAATAACAAGCAGATCTGTTTTAACTGTGGCACTAGTGGTCATATTGCTAGAAATTGTCTGAATAGAATGTTTGTGAGCCATAATCTTCCAAGAGGGGAGAACGATTTTCAGAGGAAGGTCTTTAAATAGAAACTTCTCTAGAAGTCGTTCTCGAGATGATGATTGGGAAGATGAACGAAAAAGGGATACTTTTCACAAACGTAAAAGGGTTTTTAAACACCATGTCCCAAGAAGTCTGCCAAAGAGGAGCTCAGCCATGCCAAGGTGAAGCTCTTCCCAAAGCAGCAATGGAACTTCAAACCAACCTGGTAGAAATCATACATGCTGTAAGCAGACTGTTAAGCATAATATGACAAAATTAAATGAGACATACAGAAAACCTAATTATAAGTGGAGGCCCAGACTATTCCAATACATCATCTACGCCTCCTGAGAAGGTTATTTGTAGTAAATTTGAAAGGAATCAGGAACACCCAGGAAAATCATGACCTGGGTGCCCAAATCTAATTAAACCCGCACATTTTGTAGGGACAGTTGCGGGGAAATGTCATCAGACCATGGTTCGTCGACAGCGGCTGTTCCTGACATATGACGGGAGATATCACCCAACTGCACAACATTCAATCATTTAATGGGGGATATGTCTCTTTTGCGGGTGGAGATGGAGGAAAAATTACACAAAAGGGAACGGTGTCAAATGGAGTTCTAAGCTTTGAAAATGTGAATTTCACTCCCGAGTTAAAACACAGTCTGTTAAGCGTCTCTCAGATCTGTGACAAGGGCTATTCTACGCATTTCACTG